TGTTTTACTTTGTTGACATTAAAACACGTTTTAAATTATTGATTGATTTATGTTTTGGATTTTTTTTTTCTACAATTATATGTGCAATAGTTGTATGAGTGTAGTAGCTTATCTTATGCATTCGAAAGAAGGAAAATAAGCTCGACATGGTATAAATCATCGTAGGGTCCGATAGAGGATAGAAATATATCGTTATGCTCTACGTGAATCTCTAAGTGTTTACAAAACATTATGCATTCTTGTGTATTGCATTTGTCATAGAAATATTGTCAAATGGTATGCGAGAATATGTTCAATTCTACTCGAGAGAGATTATTGAATAGGTTAGAAACATTGATTTTTCATCAATTCAAGCGTGTTGTCAATTTTGTAGAACTAGAGTTAAAATAGATCATTGNCGTGTTGTCAATTTTGTAGAACTAGAGTTAAAATGGATCATTGCATGGGAATTCGCGAACCCAGTGCGTTTATTTTCTATTAGTTACTTAATTTGCATTTAGTTTAATTAATTTATCCACTATTGCTTTCATTTAGTTTAGCTACTATTTAGTTACAAAACTTAACCGTATTTCACGTTTCGGTTAAGGTCAGAATAGGTAAAATCAAACTAGTAAATCTCTGTGGGAACGATATTTGGACTATAAAGTCCATTTTATTACTTGAACGATCCGTACACTTGCGGTAGTTTTTATTCGAAACATATTTTCGATGATCAAGTTTTTGACGCCGTAGCCGGGGATTGAATTTAGTTTAATTTTATTTATCTTGACACTAATTTGAACATTAGTTTTATTTTTAATTATTTTTGTTTTAGTTAGTATTTTTTTAATAATTTATCTAAGTACTATTTTTGATTCTTTTGTAGGTCTTATATGCGAAGGTCTCTTGACGGTGACTTGATTCCAGCAGATCCAGAAATCGAACACACCTTCCATCGTAGGCAAAGAGAAGCAAAAGCAGTACAACAAATGGCTAACGCGCAAAACGAACAAGAGATTCAAGTCAATGAAGAAGAAATTGTTGATGAAGGAAATATACTAGTTTGGGACTTGATGACACCGCAAATCATTCAGAGTCAATCCAGCATCGTCTACCCTTCTTTTGGGCAGCCTAACTTCCAGTTGAAGACCAATGTCATACATCTATTTCAAAATGGACATCAGTTTTATGGCGAAACTGAAGAAAATCCACATACACACGTCTCTCGATTCTTGGAGATGTGTAAACACTTTCGATATCAGGGTATCTCAGATAATGCTATTAGACTAAGGCTGTTCTCACACACACTACGTGATAAAGCACTAGAGTGGTTGGATTCTCAACCAATTGCCAGCATCAGCACATGGAACGACCTAGCTTAGAAATTCTATGCAGAGTACTTTCCACTAGCTAAAATTGCAAAATTGAAGGATGATATCTCTATTTTCCGACAAGGTGATTCAGAGTCTTTTGATGAAGCTTGGAACAGATTCAAGGACATGCTTGGGAAGTGTCCTCATCACTATATTAGCAAAGGACTCCAGGTCTAGTATTTCAACGCGGGATTGCTTCCATCATTCAAAAGTATGGTAGACTCGTCATCTAACGGCTCCTTAGCTACAAGGACAATTGACGATGCTTTGAAGTTATTCGAGACAGTAGTTACAACTTCAGCCATGTGGGCTTCTGAGTGAGTAGTTCAGAAGAGAATGCCGGGTGTATATGAGATGGATGCTTACTCAACTTTATGTGCAAAGATTGACTCATTGTTTCATAAGGTGGAGAGTATATCACAAACCACCAATGCAGCGCAAGCCAAAAAGCCAAGTTGTGAGTGTGGGGCAGATCATAACACAGCAAATTGTCCTATTCTAGCACAAGGAATGGAAAAAGTGGATTTTGTACAATGGGGGGCAACGTTAACAAAATAATTCACATTCAGAGACTTACAACCCAGGTTGGAGGAGACACCCAAACTTCTCTTAGGGTGGTCAGAATCAGAATAAGCCACATGGTCAGTTTCAGCAGCCGGAGAAGAAGTTGCAGTTGGAAGAGATGTTTAGTAAATTTATGGAGAGAACAAATCAGTATATGGAAGTCAACAATTAGTTTATGCGAAAAATTGAATCAACTCTCCAAGATCAGAGTGCTGCTATTAAAAACTTAGAAACTCAGATGGGGCAAATGGCACTATCTATGAATCGCAGAGCACCAGGTTCACTACCCAACAATACAGAGATCAACCCAAAGGAACAAGCCAAATCAATAACAACCAGAAGTGGGGGTGCAACTTACAGAAATTCATGTCAAGAGACCTGCTACAAGTAAGGAAAAAATACATTCTTCGAGTGAGGAGCAAATGGATCAGTCTGAATAAACACCTGAAGCACATGCAAATGAGAGTTCAGAAACACCAAAGGTTCAAGAGAATAATTCCTTCAATTAGTACGAACCTCCTATTCCATTTCCCCAGAGATTAAAAAAGCACAAGATGGATCAACAATACAAGAAATTCTTAGAGGTCTTCAAGAAACTACACATCAACATCCCTTTCGACGATGCCCTTATTCAAATGCCTATCTATGCAAAATTTTTGAAAGACATTCTATCTAACAAATGCAAGCTAGAGGAGCATGAGATGGTAATTTTAACTGAGGAATGCAGAGCTAGAATCCAAAAAAAGCTTCCTCCAAAATTTTAAGATCCAGAGAGTTTTACTGTACATTGCACTATTGAAAATTGTCATTTCGATAAAGCTTTATGTGATTTAGGTGCAAGTATTAATTTAATTACACTTTCTATTTTCAGGAAACTTGGTTTAGGAGAGGCTAAAGCAACAATAGTGACTCTACAGCTGGCTGATTGATCCATTACTCACCGAACGGGAATTATAGAAGATGTGCTGATTAAAGTGGAGAAACTCATCTTCCCAGTGGATTTTCTTATCCTATACATGGAGGAAGACAAGGATGTACCACTTATATTAGGCCGAACATTTTTAGCTACTGGAAGAGCCCTCATCGATGTACAGAAGGGTCAATTGATCTTGAGGATTGGTGATGAACAAGTTGCTTTTAATGTCTTCCAAGCCATGAAATTTCCCACTGAGTCAGATAGCTATTTCCAGATTGATGTACTTGAAAATGTGGTCCAAGATACATTAACTCATCATACGTGTATGAAACATATATCGCACATTCCCAATCTACTTACTCTGATTCTCTTGAGATTGAGACATGTGCGAGGTTTTTGGAAACTAACCTACCATACACAAGGAAACGACAGTTTGAGGAATTAGGAACCTTCCCTTTAAAGCCACTACCGTCTGTTCAACAGCCTCCGAAGTTAGAGCTTAAGCAGCTACCGCCTC